TCGTGGATGTTAATAACGTGGTTGGGATTCTTGGAAATAACAGTGCATTGATTGGCTGGAGGGAGCGGGACATTACTAATGAGAATTGAGTAATTTCAATTCTATTTTTGGTTTAAGTGCTTCCCTGTGTATTCTCTCATCCGGTGTGGTGTGAATTGCTCTCTCCAAGATCTCTTGTCGTTGCCCATGTGTATGGGAACATGTGGATGCCACATAGCAGTCATCATTCGAGTTCAAAAGAGCAAATTATGGCCATATTGAACATATGCTGTCTGAATTTTTTCATATCAGAGCTCACCAGGTCCAGCAAGGATTGACAGATTGAGAGCCATTTCTTTATTCTATGGGTGGTGGTGCATGGTTGTTCCCAGTTGCTGGAGTGATTTGTCGGCTTACTTCTGTTAACAAACGAGACCTCAGCCTTCTAAATAGTCGCACAGGGCATTTCCTAATGGCCAGCTTCTTAGAGCGACAGCTGGACGACTAGCCAGCAACGCTTGAGGCGATAACAGGTTTGTGATTCCCTTAGATGTTCTTGGCTGCATTAGATGTTCTTGGCTGCATGTGGACTATACTCATGAAGCCAACGCGTCTCCTGCCTAGGTCAAAAGCCCGGGTAACCTTCTCAGGGATCATTGTGACCAGGATATATTTTTACAGTTCTTGATCTTGAATGAGGAATTGCCTAGTAGGCACAAGTCGGCTCGTGCTGATTGCGTCCCTGCCCTCTATACACACCGCCCATCGCTCGTACCATTGAATGGTCTGGTGAAGTGTCTAGATAGCGGTGATCCCAGAAGTTTGCCGCTGGGGTTGCTGTTAGAAGTTCATTGAACCTTACCATTTAGAGGAACGAGGAGTCGTAACAAGGTTTCTGTGGGTGAATCTGACGAGGGATCATTGGGGGGGGGGGGGGGGGGGGGGGGAATACAACAAATAGGGATTCATGCAGTATAGCAAACACAAAACCTTACAATGTCAACACTCGAGCATTAAACCACCAGTACACCCGAGGCTAAATGGACGAGCCTAAATTTGAATTTTACCGAGCCTGAAAGCAACCGGTACCGCCACTTGGAGAATTGAGGGTGGCATCGGTACTGGCCACTGTAGAACCAAACTGCTGGACCAGCTGCCAGCAGATGGAATGAAAAGGAGGTCGTCGTTTTCACTCATGGGCCACGGCAGCCAAACTCTCCACAAAGCCAGCCCGTATATCTGACCAAATTCGAGTTCCAGTGGTTTTAAAGAGATACTGAGCTTCAGAGAGAAAAGAAAAGGAAAAAAAAAGAGCTCACACGGACGTCTTCTGCTCAAGACGGACACAATAGCAGTCACCCTCTCTGGCTGTCCTTTCCGTGTTTGTCTGAGTGTACCCTCAAAGGAATGTGCCTGTATCTAGCCCAAAATGGGCAAAGATTCATATGAAAAAAAGAAAACACTCTACTTTCAGAAAGGCTGGCACCCTGTGAAAACCGGCACCTGTCTCTCTTCTGGACACGTAGTCCCCACTTGTTTTGCTGGCAGTCCGTGATGACAGGCGGTAGTAACTGGTTGGGGGCTGCTTGCCCCCACAGGCATTCCCCTAGATGTTTGCAGCCCGCGTTCGACAGTAGGTGCGTGCACCCAAGTCCCACTTTGAGTGTGCCCTGAGAGAAACGGGCTACCAGAGACTTTCGGGGGAACGAACAGATACTAAGCAGATTTGAGATGGCCCGCTACATCTTGAATCTAGAGGCTGAGAAAATTCGGCAGTGCTTCTCATTTTCGCTTGGTTGTGCTTTCTTTTTTTTCTCCTGTTATAGTTTTGCTGCCAGTGCCAGCGAGGAAGGGGTTCTGTACGTACATGTGGAAACACACATGCAGATTGGACCAGTAGGAAAGGTTTTAGTTCAGTTGCCCGTTTTCAATGGGCCCACAAGCCTACTCCCCCGTTGCTTCACCTGGCCTTCCCCGAGCCCCAATTTTTGCTTGTGGCGACAAGATCATTTTTTTGCAAGGCTGGGGCCGTGTACTGGTGGTTTAAACCGCCAGTACCATTCTCAACTATTGATGCTGAGCCTAAAAATGCCCTTCAGGCCATTTTTCGCCGAGCCTGGGGGCGGCAGGTACCAGTAGGGGACATTTGGTCGCTGGCACCAGTACGGCCCCTTATGGTGGACCTGCTGCCAGGAGCTGGAATTGAAACACTGAAGTGGTTTTCTTGTTTTCACTCGTATACAACCCCAGGCCTGCCAAGTCAGATACATTCTGGAAAGATGTGCATCCCTGAAAGCAAAGGGGCTGACAGGCTCCCCGCCTCTCACGGGGAGTGATGCACACGCACGTGCGCACCACAAATGGCATACTAAGCTATGAACATGATTGCATTCAGATCATACTTGCGCCATGTGCCGTGCACTCATGAGTGATGCACGCGCACGTGCGCACCACATGCAGTGTGCGTGCATGGGCAGTGCGCTGAAGTACACGCGACTGGCCTTCATCCACTCGTACTGCTGAACGTGCCTTTTTTGCGTGTCTGAGTTGTGTGCAAGTACAAAGGAAAAAAGAAACAACTCTTTTTTGTTGTGTTGTATGCTGATGACCTTGTGCTGACCCTATCGAACCGAACAAAATGCCCTTATCAACGGACAGAATGTGTTCTGGACACAGGGCGTTTTTTTTTTTTTTTTTTTTTTTTTTTTTTTTTTTTTTTAAATTAAAAAAGGGCGACGACCTTGAGATATTATCATTGAGCTGACCGGCCCCGAGCAATTCATTAGTAGTTGGTTTTACTCGTCAAGTTCCATCATCTGGATTCGAACACAGGTCTGTATTTCAACAGTTCATGGGTGTACCCACTGAGCTACGCTCTTGGGTAGGGCGTTTTGTTTGGCGCGATAGACCCGCTGTTTTTCCTTTTATAGTTTTTGTCTGGAGATATCATCATTGAACTGACCGGCCTGCTCGTGGACACTGTCAGGCCCATTCTCACCAGGGCTACTCATCCGACTACCTTACAGCTGAACCTGGATGTATGTGGCTGTAGTTTTCTCCATAAGTTCGAAAGTCCTAGGACATCGCTCCACTAACCATTATTGATTAAAACAACAGCATTTCTATCAAATTGTAAATAACTGCCATCTTTTCGGTATTTGGTGGCTTTTTTTGTTTCCACTACAATAGCTTTAAGCACATTCTAATCACCATATGCACAAAAGACAAAAAAAAAATTGTCAGTGTATCTTCAATGTTCTAGCCGAAGATTCATTCTCATTTTGCACATTTGATGACTAGTGGAGTGAGGCCCCTAGTGTGAGTACAACGTCCTCGCTAGACTACGCACAATATATGCAAAATGAGAACGAATCTTCCGCTAGAACATGGAAAGATACACCGGCATTTTTTTTTGTCGTTTGTGGCAATTTGTGCACGCAGTGAGTAGTGGGGCGAGGCCCGATTCGGCGCAGGTAATGGTCTACGTACATTTCTTCCTTTTTTTTTTTTGGGTGGAACTTTGCAACCAATGTAGCTTTCCTCAATCACCAAATGTGCAAAATGAATGTTCAGCTATAACATGGAAAGATACACCTCCATTTGTATTGTCGGCGGGTGTCATTGATTTTGAAGATCTCGTGAGTGACGGGGTGACGCCCGTATCTGACAGATTCTGGCAGAGGTACGACCAGCCCTCACCACGGATTCTGGCAGCAGGTAAGAGTTGAAAAGGCCCCCATCGTTCCCTTGTCATGACTGAACCCGACTGGGAAAGACATCAACATTACTGGTGTATCTTTCGAAGTTCTTTCACTAGATACATTTGTCTTTTGCAGAACCCACCGTCACAAGCTTTTTTTTTTTTTTTTTCCTTTAGCTGTTGTGCGGCCCTGGAAAAATGTTGCGCAGCCCATCTCTGAATTTCGGCAGCGCTGGCGAACTTCTGGATTCAGCCCCCTGCTGACTTCTTTTTTTCAGGGGGAGGGGACCCCTATTTTCGCCCTTGCGCCTCATTGCGTGCTCGTGCCATATGCTCAATGCGCCATGTGTGCACTATTGGCACGCAGTGCCACGCACACAATGAGCCGTAAGTATGGTTCAGATTCATCCATATCGGGCCATAAGTGGGGCCAGATACAGTCTGGAAGTGTTTGTGTGAGATTGGCCTCAAACCTTCCTTTGCTGGCAGGTACTTGATTGCTCCCCATCTCTCACGGGGAGTCGCATCAGAAGCAGCCGAGATTCTTCTTTCTTGGTTGGCAAAACCAAAGGCATACTAAGCTCCAAACGTGATTGCTTTCAGGTTCATTCACAGCAGGCCATAAGTGCGCCCAGATGCAGAGTGGAAGTGTTTGTGTGAGACTGCCCTCAAATGTTCCTTTGCTGGCAGCTTCTGAAAGACGTTGTGCTCCCCGTGGACTTCAACTTTTGGTTTTGAGCGTATGGTCCCTTGTTGTAGGTCAGATACATTCTGAAAATTTACTGTCGTTAAAATGCCCTGGAACGTTTGTTCTTCTTTTTCTTTTTTTTCTCTCTTATCATTGTCAGCATCATGATGAGGGCTGCGGGCTGCAGCTTCTGGAAGAGATTGTGCTCCCAGTGAATTCCTTAAAAGCAAGTTTCGAATGTAGACTCCCACATTCCGGGTCCCGTACATTGAGGAAATCACGAGCCTGGAAATGCCCTGAAACGATTGTTTTCTTTTTTTCCTTTGGCGTCATTGCCTTCAGCATCCATGCAAGTTTTTCCACACGCACAGTGTAAAGTTGTAAGCCAACAGCACAGCTTGCAGTGCAATTGCCCCATTTCCTTGGGCCCACTAGCTTCCTACCCCGTTGCACTGCCAGGCCTTCCCCGACCCCCAGAAGTCTTGGGGATGACTTGTGGCTACGGGTAAATAAAGAATGAGGATCGAGCTAAACAGGCATTAGCTAAAATGGCGTAGCCCGGCGCGAAATTGATTTTCTAGGAACCTCTGAGAGAGACAGTGAATTAAGAAGCCACTTGTTGCATAAACATACCGATGAAGAGACTGCTCCTCTTTTCCTCAATTTCTTGAAACAATGCTGCAAATTTATGCTTCATCCTCAGAGGTAACTTGAATGCCATTTCACCTCCGGCACAGATCAGCCTGGTCGATTCCGGCACATGCTTCTTCACTAATGAATACACAGCATTGTCATCACATTCGCTATTCTCCTTTGTCATTGTCAGATTATAGCCCGGTCCATACCTCCCCTGGATGAAAGAACGCAGACAGGGAAACAATTCGGAGAACAACACCAATGAAGAGACTTCAGGTGAGGTAACCAGGAAACCAAACATAACAAAGATGGCAATTCAATGATGGCCAGCATACGATGAGTTCCAGACTCTTTCTATTCTATGGAACCACCGGAACCTCCATCGAAAACAACTCCCCCATGCGTTCTACTCTGCGTAACAATCAAGAGCGTTCACATAAGGAATGTGCAATGACAGATGCTGACTGAAGTCGGTCTGTGTTTCGCTGTGATTGCTTTGTTTCTCTCAGGCTTTGATGTGCATGCACCAAGTTTGACCTTGTCCTTGTTCATAATTCTACCGACGTTTTTTTGTACAAGTGGATGTTGCCAACCTTGGTTCCTCTGTGGAATGATCTGAGGCTCGGAGAGGGACTTCCATGCACAAGGACGGACTTTGTACAGCAGACGGAACTTGCACAAGACAGACTGCAAGGTGAAGTTTTAGAGGGACAGACGTGAAAATTGTTGACAACAACCAAGAGCGCTAAGAGGTAAACTCTTGGGGAACAGTGTGGATGCATCAGGAATTCCAAAGATAGGTGTTGTCCGTCAGTCATAGACACTGGCCTGTATCTGCCAAGTATTCGATCTAGGTGGGTTTTGTACTGGAATGGTAGGCAGGGCTATGATTTTCCCACCAAGAAAAGAGCAGGGAGGACCTGGGCCAGAGCAGGGAGCGCCTGAGGCTTCTTGGTAGCTGCCCCAAGCCACAGGGCACCAGTCGGATTTTTCTCTCACTTCAGCCCATCATTGCGTTGCTAAACAATGCTTGGAGCTCGGCTGCACAAATTTCGGAAGCTTGTGGAAGCTGTTAGCACAGCCCAGGAAATGGTGTGCAAAAGTTCCTGGCTATCGCAGGGATCAGTGGATGTCTGGACTTCGAGTCCACTTAATGTACGGTAACCACAGGTGTTGGCCTCAGGCAGATGTGAACCCAGAACCTGGGCCTGGACGAGGTACGTTATGAGAATCAGTTGTCTTGCTGTTTTTACTGCCTATGAGATTCAAACTGAGGCACTGAAAGTACAAAAAGTCTCTGTTTGGAAACCCTATAGGCTGTGGGAGGATAGCTTGAGAAAAGAAACGAGTCGACCAGCAACTTTTCACTTTCGGGCATTTGCCTGCCTTCAAAGAGCAAGGCGCTGAGCAGTGTTATTTTTCACTCTGTCAAGAAGGGAAGTTGGGTGCAGCCATAGCTAAGGGAGATCAGCCTGAATACTGCATCACGGTGACCAGGGCAGCTGAACGCCAAGGTGGATGTTAGGTTCTCTCAGTTTCAGTAAGTATTCTTGGGTGGATAGTCAAGTTCAGTTTGTTGCAGGGTTTCCGATGAAGCGTGAGATGCTTTCAATCAAGTCCGCATGAGTGACGATTGCTGAAATTCTACCATAATCCGGACGCAAATATCAGAGCTAGCAAGGACCTGAACATGTGACACGTGATTGGGCCCAACATGTTGGCTTATCAGCAGAAGTGTCATGGCAGCAAGTGCCACATCACCACCCATCTCTGCCACTTTTTGGCTACCAACCTCATGTCTTACCCCATCTCCGCAGGGTTTTCACAGGGATTGAGGTACAAGATGAGGTTGGTAGCCAAAAAGTGTCTTTTTCTGACACAGCATGTCATTCTCCGACTTGCATAAGACAGTACATGAGGGGATCAGTTCAACGACATGTGACAGCACAGTGAACGACTCTGTGTAGTGCGGGCCTCTACAACAGACGTGCAGATCCTTCGCAGCAAGAGTGGCTCACAGATAGGGCAGCAACTTGTGGAGCAGTAGAGGGATCTAAAACAAGAGCATGCAGGCATAGTGTAGACAGAGTTAAAGCATTCCATCCACAGTGTGTCGGACATTGCAGCTCCCAAAGTGCGGGTATATATACCACAGGCCTCTCTAGCAGACTGTGATGAACTTGAGCAGCAGCTGATATCGTTTTATTTCACACTGAGCACACGCCGCCACAAAAAGGCCAGTGTCGTTATGCATGTAGAAGATTGGTGGTGATCTAGGAGGCCAAGCTCCTCCATTCACCTGAACACATGACCTGCCCTCGATGTTGAGTACTCCAACAACATTTCTTCATTGTTCTACGGTCAGTGGGATTAGTTCTCTATGGGGTGGGGATTAGCGAAGCCAACGACTGCCTGTGCAGCGGGCCCTAACAAGTTCACCCATCAGCAGGTCCCGCAGTTGGGCTGTAAAATGTTGATTAACTCTGGTTCTGGCATTTGGTTCCGCAACTCGGCATGGGTGGGGGCTGGGGCTGGGGCTGGGGCTTAGCAACTGAAGAATAATGGTCACCTGTTAGAGGGGCTCATTGACACTGAATTTGTGTGAAATAAATATAACAATGAATCAGCAGATAATGAAGAAGAGGCGACAGATGACAAGTCAGACTAGACACAAAACTGGCACTCCAGAAACGAAAAGTGGGCAGCAAACCTTCAAGAAAAGAGAGCTCCCACAACACATCAAGCGTCCCTCGCTCATTATTGCGATTCTATCTGACAGAAGATCTGCCTCATCCATGTAGTGCTGCACTCAGCCATCACAATTCCCACAGAAGCCGTCCGGGGCACAAAAGTTAGACCATCGATGATTGCAAACTCATATTTTCCTTTCCCCAGTCACAACAGCATGCGAAATTATCATCAGCAAACTTTGAAGTTCTAAAGAATCTACACACATTTAGCTCCTCTCCCTCTTTCTGTTCCCCTGTTGTTGAATGAAAAATGTGCAATTTTGTGAGCGCCTTCACCTAATCCCAAAGCAGCAGGAGGTAGAGAAAGGAAAGACAGAAAAACAAAAGAATTTGCAAGGACCACTGGTGCTATATGCATGCTATCGAAACATAAACCTGGCTTTGCGACCAGGTTCATGCTCTCAGTGATGCCAATCGCATTTGTGACCTCCATTGATCCTCTGACTCCTCTCACATTGCCTTGAATTACTTTTCAGTAGAAAGGAGAATCAGGTCTCTGAAGAGTCGAAATTCCATTCACTCAAAGAGTAGCTTCCCATAGATGATTGCGCTGTTCGATGACCAGGCTATAAGAAGAAAATGGGTAGGTAGCATGGCTACGCCGGACCCGGACCCGAACATTTCCGGACATGGAACCGGACCCATGTCCGGTAGTTTCCGGACGTCCGGAATTCCGGACATTTCCGGACCTCCGGACATGGGGTGATCCGGACAGTCCAGATGTCTGGACAGGTCCGGAAATGTCCGGACCATTAAAAAAAAAATAAAAAAAATCTGAAAAAAAAGTATGTCATGCAGAATAACAATGCAAACCACTTTTGCCTCAGAGTCATGTCAGAATTCCTAACCAAACTTGAGTTACAAGCTGAGTACGGAACCGGGCTGCCCAGCCGACCAGCGCCTGCCAGGGGGAGGGTCCCGGGCGGCCTGGCCGGGCGGGCGGCCCGGTTGGGGGCCGGGCACCCCCAGCACACCTTGTCGAGGGGGGGGTTCAGACCCCGAATCGCCATGTTCTGGCGTCCCCAGGGCCTACCGGGTCCGACCAGGCCCAAAAAACGGCGCGTCGGGCCCGTGAGGCCAGCTTTTTTTTTTGAAATTGTGACGGCCCTCCGGCCGTCGATCATCCATGATCGACGGCCAGAGGGCCATTTGATTTTTGGAGGGAAAACGAGAACCCGTTTGCACAGCCGACTGGCTGGGGCGGCCTGCATCGGCTGTCCAAACGGGGCCTTGGTTTCCCCAGCCGCCGAAGATCGTGGTTCAGCCGCCCGTCGTCGTGGAGCCGCCCGTTGTCACCTGGGAGCTACACTCCCCCGTCGTCGTGGTGCCGCCCGTCGCCATCGCCTGGGAGCTACACTCCCCCGTCGTCGTGGAGCCGCCCATCGCCCGTCGCCAGCCTCGTGGAGTCGCCCGTCGCCCATCACCAGCGTCGTGGAGTCGCCCGTCGCTCGTCCCCCTCTCATCAGCATCTTCTTCTTCTTCTTCTTCTTCTTCTTCTTCTTCTTCTTCTCTCCTCCTCCTCCTCTTCCGACCATCTTCTTTTTCTTTTTTTTTATTTTGTTCCATTCGTCAGCGATAGGTCGCGAGATAAACGACAGGTAAGAAGAAAAAAAAAACTGCTCCCTTCTTCTTCTTCTTCTTCTTCTTCTTCTCTCCTCCCCCGCCTCCCGCTCAACTTCTTCTCCTTCCTCTTCTCTCCTCCTCCTCCTCTTCCGCCCATCTTCTTCTTCTTCTTCTTCTTCTTCTTCTTCTTCTTCTTCGTCGTCGTCTTCTTCTTCTCTCCTCCTCCTCCTCTTCCGACTATCTTCTTTTTTTTTTTTTTTTTTTTTTGTTCCATTCGTCAGCAATAGGTCGCGAGATAAACAACAGGTAATAAAAAAAAAGAAAACTGCTCCCTCCTTCTTCTTCTTCTTCTTCTTCTTCTTCTTCTTCTTCTTCTTCTTCTTCTCTGCTCCCCCGCCTCCCCCTCATCTTCTTCTCCTTCCTCTTCTCTCCTCCTCCTCCTCTTCCGCCCATCTTCTTCTTCTTCTTCTTCTTCTGG